CCCCAAAACCCCAAAACCCCAAAACCCCAAAACCCCAAAACCCCATTTACTTAATTCACAGTTGAAATTATTACTTAAATTTTCTTCTGTAATATTCGAACTTCTTTACGTAGTTGGAAAATTTGGTATTTATTTGTTGAGAGATTTTGGCTGTGGGCAAACATTGGGTGGGGGGTTTACTCTATAGAGATTTTAGTTTATGAAGAAGAGGGGTGTTGGGTAGGTACGGAATGGGAAGATATGGAATGTTATTGAAGAAGGTGGGGATGTATTGGTGTGGAATTGAGGAGGGGGGCATGTCAGATGGAGTCCAGATTGTCTGAGGTGTGGGTTTGAGGGAGAGAAAATTGGTATGTGGACCTAGAGGTGCTGTAGGAGTGTATCTCTAATGGAAGATGAGACAGTCAGTGAGTCATGGTGACACTAAAGGAGGCCAATCTAGTACCTGAGCTATGGTATTCAATGGTAAGATACTAGTGCTGGTTATAATCAACTTCACTCCTCGGTGAATCTCAGAGCTGCACTTTGCTCAAAGTGGATCACTAGGTATTTAGGACATATGAGCTAGAAGCAAGATACGAAAATGAGGGGAGCCCAGACCTAGTACAAACATGTCATATCTGGTTGGAAGAGGCAGAGGTATAAGGTTTAGCCTTCCACCTGGCGAAGCTAGAAGCAGGCTTGCCAGAGATTTGACCTAGACTCCGGATCAATGCAGAAACAGCCTCGTCTGAAAAGCCAAGAGTGCCAGAGATGGACTATCACTCACTAGTCTCGCAACATTAGGCCCACGGGGAGATGACGCAATTGGGCGTTCTTGTCTACTAAAGGATGACTCCCTCGCTCCATCGCTCCTGATAGAGGATCCCCTTCTTACTAAATTAAGGATTGAAAGCCCAGCGGAGGTGGAAGTGGCGCTTCTATCGAACACTGAGAAGGCATGTTGGTTCTACTTTTTCATGACTCCTAATTAAATTGTCTTTAATACATTCATTTTAATTATCTGTTAAGGACTCACCTTGATCGAATTGGGAATTACAAAGTTGTTGTTGTTTACCAGGTTATTTTTAAGACGCCCTCTGATTGAGATCTTCTGGTCCAGAGAGAAGTTCATGCGAGGTTTTAGCCGAGCTTTGTTGAAAACATTATTGGGGGTGTATATTGATTTGACTGGTTCTTTGGCCTGGAAATTCATTTTCTCGCCAATCCATCGAGTCTTGTATCTCATGGTAGTGTTAAAGCTTGGAGAAAAGGTCACGTTGTGGTATGTAGGGGAGTTTGTAGCGGTTCTCCTTTGATGACTCGTTCCTTTCCGGATATTAATGAAATTGTTCTGCCTAACGCTACCAATTTTTATCCTCTTCTTTATAGCAAGGGAAGGTTTGTTAGCACCAATGGTGTGGTCAAAGTTGAAACCCTTTCGGAGCCGAGGACTGTTCTTTAGAGAAGGATTTATACTCCTGTTGACTGAATTCTTTGTACTTTTTGGTTTATCCTTATCATACAAGGAAAAGATATTTATAATCGGGCCTTGAGGCTTAGATGGTGGGCTAAGATCTTCAAGGTGAGTTGAGTACTGTACACTGTTGTTTAGCACTCTATTGCCCTCTTTAGTTTTCATTCTAACACTTTTGCCTATACAAATTAAATTTGAAATAAGAATTTGAGTTACTTGAATTATTTTCTTCACCTTTCCATCTTTTTAAGAAGGAGATAGTAGGAAGTAGTGGCAAGAGTATGTTTATTTGCCTTCAGAGCTTCAAGGAGTTCATCTTTTTCGAAATTATACTCTTCAAGACATTCAACAATATCTTCATCTATGGGAGCCTCTGCCTTCCCCATAAGAATGCCTGAACTTGGATTTGGCTTTAAAAGGTTGAACCATGGGTGCTCTTTTATAAGACTCAGGTCGTACCTTTTCCTAGGATTTGTATTAAGGATTTTCATTAGCAAGTCTTTGCAGTTATTTTGATAAAAAATTTGGGATTATAGTGTCGATCTTGTCATTTGCAGAGAGAATTTTCTTGTAAAGATTTGAAGTATTTGGGTCTTCAAATGGGAGATAACCACATACCATAGCGTATAGAACAATTCCTGAGGACCAGAGATCAACATCAGTTCCATGATATAACTTTCCAGCAATCATTTCTGGAGCAGCATAACATGGTGATCCACAAGCAGTTTTTAGTCTTTCTCCATGTTTCCATGTATTTGAAAGACCAAAGTCAACTATTTTAATGCTGTGATCAAAATCTAGAAGCAAGTTCTCTGGTTTGAGGTCTCTATGAACAACTCTGACTTTAGAGAGGTATTCAATTCCACTAATTATTTGTTGGAAGAACTTTCAAGCGATCTTTTCATTAAGCCTTTTATTTTTCACAATAAATCTATTGTCATAATTATAAAATCCAATAAAATACAATAAGAAAGAAAATACTCCAGATTCATTAAAATGATCTTACTTGAACAACTCTCCGTTGTCTGCCATTTCCATAATGAGATAGAGTTGTTTAGGGGTCTCGATAATCTCGTATAACTGGACAATATTTGGGTGTCTCATGAGCTTCAGAAAATGGATCTCACGAGTGACTCTTTCTATACAAGAGTTGATTACCAACGTAAGGACATACAGCTGTAAAAAATATAATTATACATATTCGTGAGAGAGTTGATTACCTATACTTCCCTTGGAGTCTTTCACATTAAATATTCTTGATTTTTCCAAGATTTTGATGGCCACCTTTTCTCCAGTGAGGACATGAGTCCCCAGTTTGACTTTACCGAAAGTGCCTTCTCCAAGAGTCTTCCCAAGTAAGTACTGAGTGGCATTTGATTTCCTATCTCCGTTTTGAGTACTCATTTCTTAAATTTTCAATTTATTTTAACTATATTGGGGTTTTGGGGTTTTGGGGTTTTGGGGTTTTGGGGTTTTGGGGTTTTGGGG